TGGGCCTGAACTCTGGGGCTGGGCGCTGTCCCTCAGCTCTTCAGCTCAAGGCTAGCGCTCTACCACTTGAGCCACAGCGCCACTTCCGGCTTTTTTTTTCCTGCTTATGTGGTGCCGAGGAATGGAACCCAGGGCCTCATGCATGCAAGGCAAGTGCTCTACCACTGAGCCACCTTCCCAGCCCAGCCTTGACACTCTTTAGCTCTTACAGCTACATTATTTTTCTTTCTTTTGTGCTGGTCCTGGGGACTAGAAGCTGTCACTGAGCTTTTTGGATCAAAGCTAATGCTCTACTACTTGAGGTGCAGCTCCACTTCTGGCTTTCTTGGTAATTAATTGAGATTAGAGTCTCTTGGACTTTCCTGCTTGCTGGCTTTGAGTGATGATCCTCAGATTTCAGTCTCTTGAGTAGCTAGGATTACAGGTGTGACCCACCAGCTCTTGGCTAATGTGTTTCAATTCTGAGGTAAGGTGAGTGAAGCTGGAGTTGTCTCACTGTTGCTGGACAGGGATGCCATTCTACAGCCACAGAATTGAGACAGAAAGGAATGGGCTGGATTTTCATGCGTCTGGAATTGTGAGTGTTACCCTGGGGATTGTCTTATGTTTGTCATATGGACCTGAAAAAAAATTCTTCTCAGGAAAAGGCAGTGGCAGATAAACAGAGAAACAGAGGCATATGACAGAACCCCTTTACCCTGGTTCTGAGTGGGCTTCCAGTTCTCCGTCCATGGCCACCCCCTAGCCAAATTCTGGCTCCTGAATTCTCAGACAGCCTTTATCTTTTATAATCAATGTCTTCTTTCTACTTAAGCTAGCTTCTTTAACCTTCTGTTGTTAGATACTTCAAGTGTTCTCTCTCTCTATGTATATATATATATATATATATAATATATATATATGTATATATTCTCTCTCTTATATATATGCATACATCAGTGGAGTCGTTCTGTCCTTTTGAACAATTCCCTCCTCTAGTGTCGTGGTACAAGCTATCTTTCATCTCCCAGCCTCGTCGGTAGTTGTGTGCTTTATCATTTGCTGTTTCATAAATCACAGTTCACAAATCTCTCTGCCACTCTCTTCGCCCCCTTTCACACTTCCATTTCCCTTTTTCTTTCCTGCATTTTCAAATCTAAAAAGTCTTGGAGTATCATTTAGATATGCCTGAGGTTTATGATCAGATAATGGCTTCATTAGTCCCAATCTCTTAGGATCTGTGATGCAAAGGGATAGGAAACAAAGAAGCTGCAAAACAAAACGGTTTTTCAGATCTAGCACAACAGCCTGCATGATTCTGGAGGCCACCTGAGGGAAAAGGCCACCCCCTGCCTCAGGGACCCTCAGCAATTTCCAATGCCAGCTATACCCAAGCTCTTCTTATTAAACAGCTTACTTTGTCGCCTTAGTGAAGAGCTCTCCACTCTCACTGGGAAATCACAAATCTGCCATCTCCAGAGAGACACCCCCACCTGCTGACAAGGCCATGGCCTAGGAAGTGGGTAGAGAAGCTGGACTGCTTAGAGGCCTTGCAGGGACTCCTCAAGAAAGACAGCCAAGCCTTCTACCAGCTAGCTGGCAACTGGGACGCCACCATCCCAGTTTTACCCAACAGCTGTACTAAAAATAATCTGTCACTTCACCACAGCATGCTTGAGGTGCTCACAGACGCTCTGAGGTACAGGACAAATACTGAAATACAGGCTGCTGTGTTTCCAATGATGTGCAGGCTAATGACGTCAAGGAGGATGTGGAGATGTGAATGTGAAGAGTGTCCAGGAAAGCAAACACGCACGCTCAGGTTATTAGACTAATGGCTCGGCCTGTCATTCAGTAATGATTTATTTGTGTCTTCGAAGGGTAATTAGGATGTGGTGTTGCTTCTTCCTGCTGCCATTTGGTAATTATGCTTCCTGGATGTGTTATTTGTATTGCAATAAACCTTGTTCAGATTTCTGTAACCCTTTACTGACTACCAATCTTCGTGTGCATGTATGTGTGCTGGTCCTGGGGCTTGAACTCAGTGCCTGGGTACTATCCCTTGGCTTTTTTTTTTTTTTTTGCTCAAGGCAAGCACTCTACCACTTGAGCCACTTGTGATTTTTGGTGGCTGATTGGAGATAAGAGTCTCCTGGGCATTCCTGCCCAGGCTGGCTTCCAACCTTGATCCTCAGGTCCTGAGCCTTCTGAGAAGCTAGGATTACAACCACTGGTGCCTGGCCTAGATTACCAATCTCTAACGGCAATGATGTCTTTTAATGTCAATATCTCTAGAACCTAACAAGTCCAGCAATTTAGAAAAATCTCGTAAAATATATATTAGGTAAGTGAATGAATGACTGAATAATGGAGCAAAGAGGAAATATTGAACTTTACAAGGAAAATTCAGGGACATTTTGCAAAGGACCTAATACTTGATCTAAACCTTGAAGGAGTCAAAGGAGTTTAGGGTGAGTAAAACAGAAAGGTAGAGAATCCAAAGAAATAGAATGTTGGAGGTATTTGAAATTGCCATCAAGCGAAGTAAAAGCAGTTCAGTGTGAGATGTGGGCAAGAGAAAGGGGGTGAAGCTGGAGAGGTGGCAGGATCCAGGGGAACCTAAAGAGTGGATTTTATTATACAAGTGCTGGGGAATCATAGTACATTTTTTTTTAACCACTGGGAAAAGGAAGGCAATAACGTTTTTCTCTGGAAAGTTTTCTTTGGTGGCAATGTGACAGGTAATTGAGAGCAGAGATGGAGATGGGTTGAGGTGGGACTACAGGCAGCCCTTCCAGTTAGTAATCTGAGTGAGGGATGATGAAGGCCTGAGCTATTTTTGAAAGGTCTGTGTGAGTGGTCCTCCTCCTGCTGTCAGTTTTCAGCAGTCATCTACACATCATATCCTCCTTCAGGAACAGTGCCTGGAGATGCTAAGTCAGAGAAAAATGCCAAATATGAGCTTTTTATGCACATTTATCTCAGTAGGGTCACTCTGAGAGGCAGAATGGTATTTTCCAGAAGGTCCATAGCTAGAATGCTTCTTCACCCATGAATGAACTAAATGTGTTTTTCAGATCCTTGGACAACCTCCTTTCCCTCAGCAGTTAGTTGGTCTACCTGTCACCTTGTACTTTTTCAGCAAGAAAACAAAAAAAGGAAGAGACAAGAAAAGTGGAGAAACAAAAGCTGACAAAGGAGCAAGGAATGTGGTAAGGGCCCTTTCTTTATCTTATTCACAAATAATAAAGAATGAAAGCCATTCAAAGAAGAACGTGAGTGAATTATCTTATAACCTATTACTAGCAGTAAAATTTTACAAAAGAAGCTGGATGCCAGTGGCTCACACCTATAATATTAGCTACTCAGGAGTTTGAGAGCTGAGGCTCATGGTTTGAAACCAGCTTAAGCAGGAAAAGTCCATGAGACTTTTGTCTCCAATGAACCACTCAGAAGCTCAAAGTGGAGCTGTGGCTCCAGTGGTAGAGCACTAGCCTTGAGCATAAACGTTCAGGGACAATACCTAGGTCCTGAGTTCAAGTACTTCCAAAGTTTACAAACGATGGAAAAAGTACCTGTACAGCTGCTTGATGTACTTCTGGAAGAAGATAAGCCCTTCCTTCATTCTCTAGGACATACCTACCTGATGTCAGATAGGAGGACTAAACTTCTTGCCTTGAGACAGCAGTTCTCAATCCAGACTATATACCAAAATTAACTGAAGATTAAGAAGATATTATAGCCCAAGATATTCTGATTTGATTGGTTCGGGTATGGTTTGGGAATTGGTCCTTTTCTAGATCCCTTGGGTGCCGTGACCACACAGATAGTCTAGGAATTATTGCCATGCACTCAGGGTTGGCAACCTTTTTCTGTAAGGGCCAGAGAAGTAAATATTCTTTTGGTTTTTGTTGGCTGTGCAATCTCCATTACAACAATTTACTCTGCTGTTGTACTGTGAATGTAGCTATAGACAATATGTAAATGAGTGAGTGAGTGTAACTATGTCCAAAATATAGTTTATAAAAATAGGCAGTGGTTGAATTTGGCTCATGAGCCATAGTTTATTGTCTCCTGCAGACTCCAAAGGATGACTGGATTGACTAGGTGGCTGAACACAAAGTATGGAGCAAGTAGGAAAAATACTCTGGTTTAAAAAAGTCATTTGGCAGAAGATGCTCTAGATTATTTTTCTAAGTAAAATGAAATATGTTTCTGAGTTCATGGAATGCTTCTGGTGAAGTAAATTTGTGAAGACGGATAGCCATCTATTCATAAATGACATTGTAGGGCCAATTCCACCCTCACAATCTACCAACAAAAATGTGGACTTACAGTCATTCTTCAATATAAATTTGCCTTAATTTATGGCAAAGCTGACGGGTTAGATCTGGGATGTGAAAGGAAAAGAAAAGAAAAGCAGACTTAATTTGGATGAAACGATTTGGTTTGATGTCTTAGAGGACTTGAAGAAAAAAACTAATAAGGTATAAAGAAAAGAAATCACTAACTTGCAATAATGAAAAAATAAAACAAAAAAAGAAAGGCACTTAACCTTAGAACTCAAATGAGGAGAGAGAAAGTATCCAAATGGAATAGAATCTTTGTGGTGTCAGGGAGGTGAGCTTGTAGATGGATGTATCTTATGTGTTCTGCTATGGCCTTGACTAGAATTCAGCCACAATACTGTGTTTTGCTTTTTTAAAATGTTGTTTTGTTCTTATTTCAACATGGTGACCCAGTATCAATTCATACTAACATTTTGTGCTACAGAAATGCAGGGATGGCAAAGACACAGAAGAAAATTGAACATCTGCCTAACCATGAAGTTTCTCTGCTATCATTTCTGGCCTTGTTCTTCTCTGTGGAAGAATAATCAGATGACAGATGACCACAGATTATGCTCCTTACAATTCAACCAGATGAGCTGTGAGTGTTAGGGTAGCCTCACCTTTATCCTATCAATGTTGGCTTCCATCTTAAGCTGTTCTACCAGCTTCCTGGCTTGTGCTATGCTGGCGGTGTTGTTGCTGGCCATTGGAGTGCTCGAGGGGGTTTTTCAGACACTCTAGAAAAGAAAACAAATAGAATACTGTCAGGGAATTCATGAGCTGCCAAATGCACAAGTTAGTTCTTTGTGACTGGAGGATTTTAAAACAGTTTTTTTTAATCGACTCTTACATTTCAGTCAATACTATATCTGATTAGCAGGTAGACTAGAAGATTAAATTTGCTTTTCCGATTATTTTCCCACCATCTTCTTTGGGGTTGGGGGAGTCGGAGGAAGGTAGAAATAAATGGAGGGAGGGAGAGAGATAGAATGTGCACAAATGTTCCCCAAATTAGGTAGAATAAGATGCTCTGCTACATTAAAGAAACAAGACACAAATTACCTTAATTTATAAGATAAGTTTAAAATGGTAGCCGTGACAGTGTGTATTATTACAGTTGTAGTTGCTGGAGTTTATTGGGTGCTATTATTGTCAGATACTGTGTTAGTCATACTCACAGGATGAGAAGGGAAAGGTAAAGCAAGGGATCAATATTAAAATGTATATTTTAAAGTTTACACTGTTTTCTTCTGATGGGCTCAGGCCCTATCTTGCTAGCTAACTGTGGCCACCTTAGACTATTATACTGCTGAAGCTTTGGATGAAAAGGTTGTTTTTTCAGTATTGCTTAACCCAGCATTATTGTAATTTCTTTCATTCTATTTGAAATGTGATTCAATTCACAATTCTTTGTTTACATTGTTTTAGGAACTCATCTGTCATGTCAAGGTGGAGGGACTGCTATATATAACTTGACAAGTACATTAATTACTTGTATTTTTCCTAAACAAGTATAAAAGACCTTTTTTTCTCAACAAGGAAATACAGCATACATGTTGACAAGTGGAATTCTGTACCTAGGTAGATCACGAAGGTTTCTTTGTTCTAATTTGCCAGACTTCCTCCTTTGCTGTTCCCCCCCACCCCCCCGCTTTCAAATGTTGTCTCAATTTTTATTTCTCTTCTAAACCTCTTTTTGACCCATTGTCTCATTTTATTCTTCATGTGCATCTTGAAAGTATCCTATTTTATTTTCAGTGATGTGTTCCCCCTCCAATTTGGAGTAGGTCTTACTCTATGTTAAGGTGTCATATACAATTTCAGGGACATTTGTGTTAACTATGGCCCTGCAGGTCACAAACACTCATACTGAGGCAATGTCTGAGAGCTTCAAATTAACTAGAGTGTATGAACCAAGAAATGAGAAGCATTAAATACTGCCTTGGCCAACACTAGTGACATCATATTCTAAAGACATTGTCTGGAAAGTCATGACTTTAGCTGGCTTTGGGAAATCATTTTATCTAGGGATGGAGCAGGAGTCTAAAAGAAAAAAAAAGGGAAGAAGAAAAAGAAAACCTGGAGAAGAAATAATAATCCAAAATAAAGAATATGTAAGTTTTAACTACCCCCTAAAATGAAGAAATACTTTTTTGTTTTAATTACCCAAAGAGCAAGTCTATAAATCATCTCATTTCATGCTTATTTCTTGATATATAATTCTTCAATACAAAAGAAGAAATTACACATAATTCTCTGTACAATCCATCCACCAAGATTGTTACTTCATAATGAAAACTGCAAAATAAGCCACCCAAAAGCATTTGTAGCATAACTTGGAAGAAAAGTAGCTGTTCTTTTAACTTTTTTTCAAAGAGTATGGAGACAACAGAGTGAGGAGGAAGAATAAAGGGGTTTTTGAAGGCAGAAAGTTCTTCAAACTGTAATTTCATATACATGAAGATCAAAGAAGGACAAAATACAGGTTAAAAACAACAAGAAATAAAACATGATTTCATTGGCATGGTTAGAGACCTAATCACTCATTCCCCTAGGAAAATTATACAGCTTAGTAAAACCTCATGGGGCCAAGATAGAGTATGGATGTATCCAGTGAGGATAGCCTAACTATTCTCCTTCATTCTAAGTTGGTAGTATCCATGATCTGTAAGCTCCTGTATACTGTTCTGTAAAGCTAATATTTCTGCCAAATTAGAATGTATTCACCATTGTACAATGTGGGCCACAAAATTATTATAGAGACCTCATGTAGGATAAGAGATATGTGGGAGACTGGCCTTGAATCTAACCCAGATCACATAGTAACCTAGAGCAGGGATTTTACAGTTTGCTTCCCCAACATCCCTCAACTCCCCGTTCTTAAAATTAATAATGACATTATCTTTTCTTTCAGACAGAGATCACAAACAAGCACCCTGAATCTTACCTAAGTAAACTCTGCTTAAGAAAGAAAAAGAGAGAGAGAGAGAGAGAGAGAGAAAGAAACTAAGAAAGAAAGAGAAAGGAAAAAAAGAAAGAAAAAAGGAAGGAAGGAAGGAAGGAAGGAAGGAAGGAAGGAAGGAAGGAAAAGAAAGAAACCAAATGCTGCAGCTTCCCTTGCAGCTAGATATAGTTGCCTGACTAAATAAAAACAGACATGCCCTCCCTTCCATTCCTCCTGCTGCTGGCCATCATAGACATTCTAGGCTGAGCATGAAGGATTTGTCTCCTAAGTGTTTGCAATCTCCATGGCAGCTGCAGACTGGCCACCTTTTATGTGAGAGAGAAATAGTGTCTGTCTTGATTATAGCCCCATTATTACTGTCACTGTCCAACTAACCATTAGAATATCTAGGAAAGTCTGTGTCCTGATATATTTTTATGTTCTTGGGAAAAGCTGTTAGGTGTCCTAAGGAGACTGTGATAGTGTTAGTTCTATTGTTTGTGTAACTTACACTACAAATTCAGTGGTCTAAACTCCTTTCATTTTTGGAGATCAGAGAACTAAACCAACTCGTAGAAGGCTAAAATCCAGGTGCAAGCAAAGCTATATTCCTTCTAGAAATTCCTCCTGTAAGCTGTCCTTTCCTGTAGCTTCTAGGAGCTTCTTCAAAGCTGACGAATGTGAGTGGACTCCTCTACTCATGTCTCTCTGACTTCCTCTGAAGTTACTTCTCTCTCTGACTCTGATTCCTCTTTTGCCTTCTTTCCACTTTTGAGGACCCTGTAATTACACTGGGACTATCCAGATCACCTGGGATAATCTTCCTCTCTTTCGGTCATCTGGTTACCAATCTTAATTCCTTCATATTGACAGGTTCCAGGAACTGGAAAAAATTAACATTGGAGGAGAGAGTTATTCTGCTATCATGGAAAGGAGGCCTCTGCACAGGCGGGGAAGAGAAGTTGGGAGGTGGGAGGTAGGAAGAAGAAAGAAGATGGAGGGTGAAGAGGTTTAGAACACTGGACAGACAATACATTTGAAACCTAAATGGACTTAAGAGAAAAGACAAATGTAGGCGTTGGGTTTCTGGTGTGAGGCAGATTAATACACAATGCTCTTGTTTTACCATTCTACCCTGGTAGAATCCCAGGGTAGAATTTCCCACTTTTCATAGCTAACTTAATTTCTATAAAGAAGATTGCAAGAGTAATAGAGCTCTAGACTTATTTTTCTAAAATGTGCTTGCAGTGTTTGGATGACGGGTGAAAAATCAAGTAAAAATAACATTACATCTATTTTAGACTTAGAGTCACCTGGTAGGGAATCTTCATCTTCTGGAAAGTAAAAGAGGAGCCACAAACTGGGACTTGAGGGTAGAATCAATTGTTGAAGAAGCAGAGCTAGAGGAAAAGCAATCCTTCCCAGGGCTAGGTCAGGGGGAGGAGCAGAACCCCTGAGGGTAGAGCTGAGCCTATATTTTTGAGTACCTTGTTCTACCTTCCCTTAAAAGATTTTTTTCTTTTCTCTTTTAAAAATTTCAGTCTCTTTCAATACCTTTCCTTTTTAAACTTTCCATTATGCAGAAGTGAACACCACATTTGCTGAATTAGCTCCTATTTTTTCTTCTTTCTTCGACTTTCCCTCTATATCAAATAACATGTGGCTATTATTAGTTATTGAGATTTTACCCCTATCTTTTTAGCCATGAATGTGGTCCAATAGAACTCCTGTCCAGAATTCCATTCTGAATGATTTGTCTTTTAGGAAATAGGTCGTGATTTTTCTGAAGCTCATTTCCCTGGAAGCTTTTTGCTCATGTTGTGACTTACGCAAAACTTGAAGGTCAATAGAGGAAAACTTACATCTCCAAATGTTAAACACCTGCTGTCCTAAAAGCAAGTGGCTTTGTAAATGTCATAGAAGACCACATATGCAGAGCCATGCTTTCCATTTCTGAAACACCATGTGAGATATATTTCTACTCCTGTTAAGCTGCTTAGCTCACACTTTATGAAGTCAGCTCTTGCAAAATTAAACAAAGAAAAGACACAACAAAAATATGGTAAAAGGAGGGGAAAAAGCCATTCTCCTGTTCAATTGTGGAAAATTAAAAAGTTATCTGTCTTCCAAGTTTGTGGTATTTGGACAATTCAACACACGCACACACACACACACACGCACAGAGCTACTGTGAGAGAAATCCTCTATATCACAAATTCTCTTTTTTCCAATTTTTAATTGTAGTTAAACACATCATAAAGTTTATGATCTTAGCCATTGTGTGTGTGTATGTTTGAGAGAGAGAGAGAGAGAGAGAGAGAGAGAGAGAGAGAGAGATAGAGAGAGAATATGTATCCTGGAGCTTGAACTCTGGGCCTGAGTGCTGTCCCTTTGCTTTTTGTGTTCAAGGCTAATGCTCCACCACTTGAGCCACAGCTTCACTTCTACACTTCCAGCTTTTTTTTTTTTTTCAGTCCTGAGGATTCAACTCAGAGCCTGAGCACTGTCTCTGAGCTTTTGTTGCTCAAGGTGATGATCTAAGATAGGACAGTGCAAAATTACTTTTTTTTGGCTCAGAAAGCTATCCTGATCCCGGCAATTGGTGGCAGTTGCCAAGTACTGGAGAATCTGGTGACCAAGGTATGGTGGGGGCATGTGTGTGGTTACGTTTTCTGAATTTGAATCCTAATTATAATGCTGAAGCCTTATTAGTGGACTTATAAAGAGAACCAAAAATTAATAATTATCTGGGCACCAGTGGTTTACACCTGTAATCCTAGCTACTCAGGAGGT